GCTGCCTCAGGATTAACACGCATGATCAAGCTAATATGATTAGTTACTAGCCCACATTGTTCACATTATAACATACACTGCAACTAATATTAATACCTGAAATCCTTATTTTGTGCTTTTGTCCATGCATTTTACACCATTATGAAACAATCAAAGAAATATTCAGATCACTTGACAATGTGCTCATTCAATAAATGCAATGAAGGATGAGGCATATATTTAAGGGGCCATTTATAACCCACTAGAATTATACATGAACAACATAAGAGAACAATAATTCCTCAACAGGATTTACCTATGGCTGTCAATTTGTACAATTCAGCAGTCCAATGTGTGAAGCAACCTGTATATTTCACTTCATTTCCAAACATTTTGCTGAGGTTATACCATCACACATTAGAAATGTTCAGCTTACTAAGAGCAGGGATTTGTAATGTCAGAAGAATATTAATCATTAACCAACGGTATTGTACTTACCACTATTCCCAACATATATTACTCAAGTCTATTCAGTCAGTTTGTGTATAGGATGCAATAGTTCAGGAAATCATCATAAAATATATTCATATAAATATGCATTTTTTACTTATGTTCCACACATGGATATAATAAAGCCATTAAGAAACATATATGGTCAAGACTAAAATGTGCGCCAAAAGAATGACATTAAAGATATTTTCCAGGAGTGAGACTATAACCAATGCCTGTTTTAGTTATTTGAATATATGCTCATACATGTCATCAATGGTAAGGGTTTTACGTGACCCGCAAATGTGCGTCCAGTACCCACAAATGTAGAGAATGGGTGTAGAAAAAATATTCACTACATCCACGCACAATATTATTCAGTGTACCCACAACACAACTATCATGACTTTTTGGTTGTTTCTTTCAGAGCAGTTACATGCATCATTTCATCCATCAGTCTACATGATCAATGATTCATTCTAGGCTTTAAAGAAATGATCATAACATACACTTCTCTCCAACGTTACTTCACAGGATCCTCGTATTGCCCGCAAGGACCCTGAAAACTAATAATTGGGAGTCTCCGGGACTTTAATATTTGTGAGTCAAGGTAAAACCCTGGATGGTCATCAGGTAAAACAGAAAGGAGAAAAAGGGTTCTCGTCATAGATGTGTTCCCTTCCTAATGTGGACCTGGAAACTTCATAATACAAAGACAAGGTTGACTGTGTGTTAACATGCTCTGACGAAGTGGATTGGTGGTCACAACAGCAATCACTGAGTTGTCTGGTTCAGGCTTTTCACAGCTGTAATATTGCTAAGTTAAACAAGTTAAATAACAACCATTCCATAGGACAGTTTTATTTAACTTATCAGAACACCTCTTATTAACCAGGAACAGGAAAGGAACCTGGCTGATAATGATAAGATTGTTCTGTATTTTAACATAATAATGTGGGTTATTTTGTGTTCCAGACAAAGGTTTACACAGAATACCAATCATTTAACCTAATTTATTCACAAAAATCTGATCAGCGAAATACTTGTCCAGCAACAAGGTGCTACAGACGACAACAGCAGGGTAGTGTATACCAACTTGACAAGGGGTAGTGTATAGAGCCTGTATTTACCAGCTGTAAGTGAGGTTAACCCACATACCCTTTCAGTTATTATTTTCCTTGTTTGAATAGTACTTGTCTCGTCAATCAGTTACGAAAGTTTCAAGTCGTGGCACTAATAGATGGTGTAATAAGTGTGAGTGTGCAGGTGGCTAGGTTCATAATGGCCTGGCCTGATAAAACATCACAATAACCGTTCAACATTTGACAGATATATGAACAGCCAATATAGTTACGTCTGAAAGAAGGTTGACAAATTGAAAGGTATTTAATATCAGCTTTCAGGAGTGAATTCTGAAAGGGCTCTGTACAAAGATCATGTCATCATCATTCACAGTGCTACAGATATTTTTCTAATCTACTGAGTATTCGCAAACATCATGGACTTATATGGACCTCTGCAGCTAGGACGATATTTGGTCCCGTCATCTGCAGCCAATGTCTGTAAAATTTCCCACATTGGAAGTAAACATTTCCCCATTCATAATGTTAAAGTGACAACTAATGTTATGGTAGCATGTATTTCGCTGATAAGAGGTGCAGTAGCTTTACCATTGTGTTACACTGTTGCATTGAATGCATGTCAAAGTAGCAGTAAGAGAGGTGAACCTCCTTTCAGGGGTGGAAATAACCATTGCCCGATGTCCGAGTCCAGAAGTTTTTTTTGTCGGGCAAGCACATTTGTATATCACGCTGTACCGGTGTCCAGTTGACATTCCAATGTTAATTATGTTGTTTATTTAAAAAATCACCAAGAAAATCGGCCGGTATAGCGGAAAAATTATCAGGACAAGTGATTTTACATGTGACGCAGTACCGGAGTACACTAGCAATTTTAAAGTTATTTCCACCCCAGCCTTTGGGTGTTATTCACTGCCATAGAGGCTCCGTATGTGATAACTAAGTTCATTCAGTATGTTCTCACATCAGTCGTTATACCATTGTCTTAACCTTCTGTTTGCATATATTAACACAATTATGAATATTACAACAAATTTGACTCTGCATATTTTATGTAGATTGCCTGTTGTTTAAAGCTACACTCAACAATATTCCAGTTAGATAGCAGCAGTCTGTAATTAACTGAGTCGTGAACCAGTTGATCAAGTGATCGAGATCATGAGCATCGATTTACATGTTTCAAATACAATGACATGTGTCAACCAAGTGAGCGAGTCTGACCACACTGTCCCCCACTAGTTGGCTCATAGGACAAGCATGGGTTGCTGAAGACCAATTCTAACTCTACTATTTGGTGATCTGCATCAAAATAAGAATATTGTACTGTTGACTGCTGGCTTCAGTAATGATATGAAAATACTGATTTATATACAGATTTATCTACACCTGTCCACAGACCGATATTTGACCCTAAACAAATATCAAATTAATGACCAAATTGGAGAATAATTCCTCAGTTCAGGATGTAACAATCAAAACTAATAACCTATATTAAGTGTACAATTTTTACTTCCATTTCACAGATAATAGAACCAATTTTGTTCTTACATCATTGCAACAAATTCAATATTGATGTACAAAGCTAAAAGCCTTCTGGGTTTAAAACTCACTAAATCCCAATTCTGAACAAGACAATAGTTGTACACTAGTTTGCTTATGGACTGTTAGTTTGAAACCTAAACAAATTCCTGAAATAGCTTTATTGTTGTTGGTGTGGGTTTTTTCAATTTTATTTGAATTCCTTGCAAATGGCACCTAGATTAAAACTGTAGATAAATCTCAGTCATATTTGAATGTGAACTTTTCCCATGTTTTCTCTAGCTTCAACTTGACTAAAAACTTCTTTGATTGGCATTCTAGAGGTTGAGGAGATGACGAATGATGACTATTATCATGGGTATACGTCTTTATTCTGTATAGGCAGAGATATTGCAATGTGATTAAACTTAACTCTAATGTATAGGCAGCGCTTCAACATCGACTCTAATGTCGTTGTTAAGCAAGAGGTGAAAACATTAAGGCTGCATGTTTGACAAGGTGCCAAGATCAAAATAATCGAAGATTCGTCACAATGACTAAATGACCAAGTAATCGACCATGTTTTCTCATAATCGAACACAATTTTGGAACACTTGTTTGCATTAACAACATTTTTCACAAGGTTGATTTTGTCTGTTACATTTCATAAGTACTACAATCTCGTTCCTTGTCATGACTGAATTTATCTTAAAGACTCCAGGAAATTTATGTTCCCAACATACTAGTCATCCTTTAAAGATGGGAAATTTGTAAATGCATTTAGTGCAATTTGCAAAAAAAACCCGAAAGAACTACATATATTTTCTAAATTTTTTGTGCATTAACAAACATAACCAGGAGAATTTGATAAATGACACTAACCAATTATTTTTGATGATTGATCGATTGTAATGAATCAATCATCAATTGTGAGATTGTAACCAATTCCCAACACTCGTGTCCTTTAAGCCCAAACGTATAGAATGGATGCAAAAATTACATATACAGGAAGCACAAGAAAATTCATTGTGCAAAATTCCTGAAAAGAAACAAAGTTCATTTAATTACAGTAACTATTTCATTATTTTACAGGATCTTCATATTTCTTGTAAGAACCCTTGAAATCAGTACTTGCAGTTCCCTAGACTAACAACTAGTCTCTGAAATGAACATATTTTACTGAAAAAAGTTCATAGTAAAAAATTAAAATATGGTAATGAAAAGGAGCCCTGAGACTTTCTTCATCTGAAGCTGAGGAAATCTAGAGTCAGCCACATTTGTCTAGACTTGTGTGGGCATTTGGGCTAGCATATAGTTTGCTTCAGGGCGACATACACTACACACGCATGCACGCCGTCATATGAGACTAGCAGTTCGTAAAACCTAATTTCAGGTCCCCTAGTTTTATAGTTCAAGGTAAGACATTGTTCGAGCATTAACCCTGATTTTTAACCTCTTTATCTGTTTCTACTTGGGCCAACATAAAGGATATCTGTGGACATATTTCCTGACATGGGCAGATTAGGATCGATGATACGCTTGAGTATTATTACCCAATGGAGACCTTGTGAGAATCCTGGTTTAAAGAGGTCACATTCCAAATCAAATATCAGGATCAACAATCTCCCACAGCACACAGGACTGTCATTACACTACCACTGAGGTATTCGTGGCTTGACATTTAAAGGGTGAACTGGTAGTTCAATGAAAACATACCACAAAAATAAGCTATGTATTATATTGAAACAAGTTAACACAACCTCGATCTAAAACCTGTGATATATATAAGTGTGTGTGTTAACACATGCTTAAATGTGGTATAAATGGGAGCACCTTTGCACCAACCACAGCCGTCAATGTCACACGTTAACACATAGTATTTACGTTTTCAACACATTCTGTTCAGCTTGTCGTCTATTCAAACTGCACACTTACCCTGGTAAGTTGGAACCTGATAGCTTGCTTTGGACACTGGATATTGCATTGTGAGGTGTTGGAACGCTTACTTTCGTGGGAGTTTTACCTGCCGTTGTAGATGGTTTAGATCTTGTACCAGTCGCCGAAGTATTCCTAGGAATAGTATTTCCTTTTACCTCATTCTCACTGGAAGATGCTGAATCAGCACGTGCGGTAGTAGGAGCTAGTTTGTATAAATTGGTTTTATCTAACTTTTGACTGTCCCGTCTGGTGTATTGAAAAGTTCCATTTTGTGAGGACTGGGCTAATTTTGACAACAAATGACAACTGGAATATTCACGACTTGGTTGAGGAGCCACGTTGTAGAACCCTGGGTGGTAGAACGCACTGACTCGTTTTGGGGGTTGAGGCGATGCGTTGTCAACTGTGGAATTCTCCTCGCGATATTGTTTCATATAATACCTAATGTCTTGATAATGTTTGAACACATAATTTTCTCTAGGGTTTGGAGTAAGTTTCAATCTTGAATCTCTCCAACTCAGAAATTCCCGCGGTCCATCTTTTCCTTTGGAATTCACAGAGTCTTTTCCGGTTTCCGTAGTAACACTTTGGAACTGTGTAACCAGCCTGTTAGTTCTTCGCTTTTCTCGCGAATACTTTTGGCAGTTTTGGGCTTCGACGCATTTCCAATAAATTCAATTAACGCCTCTTTGTCATATCGGTCGTCTGCTGCAAGTAACCTATTCTGGACCAGACGATCTTGGTGAGAAGAAGTGTGTTTTCGTGAAACGTCACGTCATGTTTAGCCATTTCTCCATTGCTTATTAGCAAAATCATTTAGACCAGGCACATGGGCGTATACTTCCCAACTACCGCACATACCTTATCGAGCAAGGTAATCCGCGCCTAAGCACCGCCAGTTTGCAAACAGTTTAGTTGGCAAGCACGCGACTCGACTCTGGCTGTTCAATTAACTTGACGGACATTATTTACAGTCGGTTACTTTTCGACTGCCAGAATTAAGTTCCTCGTGTATCATGTTTACACTTGTTGACGTGACATTAACAACTGTGGCCTTATAAATAAACTATTCCCTTGCTGACACATCAGCCAATAAAATATTTCATTTGTAACGTCTTGTTAAGAGATGTGTAACAATAGGGAGGACAATGGAAGAGCCGTCAACCTGTTGGAAGAAAATTACCGTACGGGTGAGTGGCCAAATGTACTTAATCAATTGTCGAAGATTGAGTCGGAATAGAGTGTCAAAGCCGCTCCTGCTTAGGATTATTGAGAGCTACTTGAAGCTTTAAGAAACATACGACGGTGTTGGTGTTTTAATGCTCGCCACATGAAAACTTGTATAACATTCTCAGTGATAGCAGACGACCAGTTGTAGTATATCAATCAATTCACTGTTAAACCAAATGCAGTCCGACCTAGTGATCTTGAAGAGCATTAACTCGACAGATGCTTGCAGTTAAGACGATAAAACTATATTGTCCCGTGCCCACGAAATGAATTCAACCTGTTATAAAATTTGATTGTTGTTTAAAGGTCGCACTTGACAACATTCCTGCTGGATGAGTGTCCTGTTAATGGAAATCGAGTCAGGACCAGACAACCGTATAACCGACACAAGCATGGCACGCCGTCTGAGTACAGTGACGCGCCATCAACCAAGTCAGCCAGATTGCTGGGGACCAATTCTAACCCTGAATCCCGACGGGCAGAAGAAAATCTTCATTTGCAGTTTTATTCCTGTACAAGTCTTCTCCCCTTTTTGAATGTCACAATTTTCAAGTATACATGTGACTGCGGGGGAGCGCCACAAAACACTGTGCAGCTCACACGCCAAAGCTGAACTGAAAAGCGTTATGAAGCGGCGCTATTTTCAGTTTTATGCCTGACTGACTGAGTTTGGTTTTACGCCGCTTTTAGCAATATTCCAGCAATATCACGGCAGGGGACACCAGAAATGGGCTTCACTCATTGTACCCATGTGGGGATTCGAACCCGGGTCTTCGGCATTACGAGCCAACGCTTTAACCACTAGACTACCCCACCGCCCCTTCAGTTTTATGGTTAATATTATGGTTAATATGGATGAAGACGGAAATGTACACAGGGCCGTAGGTAGCAGCTGGATTTAACTCAGCTAAGGAAATGTTTTCAGTTTAGATCGAGTTACTGCTGGAGATGAAGAATCGCGACGTGCTGCAGATGTTTGGTACTCTGGAATATTGCAAATATTTGGTACCCCCAAGTAATGCAGATAATTGGTACCCCGAAGTGATGAAGGTCTTTTTTACTCCGATGTTTGGTACCTCGAAGTGATACATCTTTGGTATCCTGAAGTGCTGCAAGTCTTTGGTATCCCGATGCAATGTAGGTCCTTGGTACAAGGAAGTACTCAAGGTATTCGGTACCCCGAAGTGTTGCAGGTCTTTTTTACTCCAAAGTGTTGCAGATCTTTGGTGCCTCAAAGGGATACAGATCTTTGGTATCTGAAAGGGATACAGATCTTTGGTGCCTCAAAGGGATACAGATCTTTGGTACCTCAAGGATACAGATCTTTGGTATCTGAAAGGGATACAGATCTTTGATACCTCAAAGGGATACAGATCTTTGGTACCTCAAAGGGATACAGATCTTTGGTATTCGGAAGTGCTGATCCTTGGTACTACGAAATATTGCAGGTCCTTGGTACCAGGAGGTGCAGCTGGACTTTCTTACACCAAACTGATTCAGATCTTTGGAGAAACGAGTACTCGCTCGTGTTGGTGACCAAACGATCACTGGATCTATGTCCAAGGCAAACTGTGACAGATATATTTATATGAAAACTAGAAATGTTTAATCCACTTTAGATATATTATACTATTTAAATTGTTTGATGTCCTTTTTATCTTAGTGAGATACCAAACGATATTTGGTTGCAAATGGGTTTCCACACATAGACTTCGAATATCCTGATCAACGAGGCATTGCTCATCCGAAGTTAGGTATACGCTTTTGATGTTTCGAAAGTCAAATTTACAGATCGAAAACATTTATATCGTATATAAATGGGTTCCGTGTGCAATTTAACAATAAAGATTTGTCTTAATTATGTAGGTTCATAACTTCAGTTTGCACAAAGCGCTGAAAATTATTACAAAATTTTGACCTCACCAGAGTTGACTCTGTCATTAATAGTGAATGACTTTATTTGGTGATGAGACCACAGGCCCTTTACACAGATTACAACATATCGGAATATTTCGATTCCCCACATGGGCACAAGCGCCTGTAAAAATATTGCTAAAAGCGAAAAACTGCAGATGACAGTAGAGAAATGCAATGGCTGTCAACGGCAAACTTCAACATAGTCTAACATGCGGAGTGATCATGGTGATAGAAACTTATTCCGCAATTTAAATACGAGAAATGTGTACTTTCCAAGATTAGTTATTATTTCATTATGACATAACAGAGGCTGCTTAAACTTATCGAGAGATGGAAATTCCCAGAAATATTTTGGGATAAGATGTTTTCTGAGATCATCGTAAAATGAGCATTCTAAGGTGAAGTGGAACTCAGTTTCTATCACTGGAACAACACAAAGAGGACATAATCGCTGATCTCCTGGTAGTCCTAATTTACGACCATATTCAATCAAGAGACAGTGGCTGGAGCACCTAAGAGAACACAAAGAATTTCTGTACACTTTCACTGGAATGCTTGTGAGATAGCTCTCAAACTGGAGAGTATTTTTGATTGACTTATAGAGTGTTAATTTGGAGAACATATTTAGGTTGTCACGCCATATCTGTTTATGAATATCAATACATCTTTGTTTAAAAGTTTGAAGGGATAACTGGGTATTTATGGTGTCCTGATTGATCCACACTGAGCCGAAGCCATAAGAAAGAAGTAACTTCTTTACATTGAAACCCCAACACTCAATGTCTCTATTTGCAAGGCCCTTTTCATACAAATAAACATGCCTCAAAACAATATTGCTATCCTGATAAAGGAGTCTTAACCAATGCTTCATAATTTTTATGTAATGGTTTATTTTTATGGAGTAGCGTCCAAGCTCGCCCGTCCAACTAAATTGGAGTTGACCTGTTCAGATACAAAATGTTTTTTTATAAAACCTATCGCAAAGGTTTTCAATATGATGGGATACGTGGAAGCTCCAAACTTCACTCCCATAAGTCATTATAGGCATAACTTTCACATCACAAATGTGGAGTTGAATATGAAGAGGCAGCTTGTGAAAGTATTCAATATTAGATTTGATACATTGCAGGACTTTATTACCTTGGTAAGCAAGTGGTTTTTCTGGTCTTATACCATGATCCAGAGCTTGATAAGTGAACACCAAGGTATTTGTAAGTAGATGCTATTTCAAGGGTTTCCCTTTTGAAATAGAATTTTTCATATTTTCTAGACGCCCCCCATTCCTAAAAACAATAATTTTACTTTTTTCACTGTTGACTAACAACTGCCACTTGTCACAGTATATACTTAGTTTGTCTAGCCGGTTTGGAGACCTTTTACTGGGCTACCAAGAATAGAAATATCGTCTGCAAATACCAAGATAAACAATTGCACCAGGCCAGTAGATATTAACCACTGATTATCCCCCCCTAAGAATTGTACCATGTCGTTTATGAAAAAAGAAAACAGGAATGGTGAAAGCTGGCAGCCCTGACGGACACCGAAAGCACAGTCGAAGAATTCAGTATAGCCTTCCTGGAGGGATACACATGCTTTTACGTTTTATACATATTTCTGATAACGTTATAGACTCGACCCTGTACATTACCAACCCAAAGTTTGTTGTCATTAATACTGTCATATCACTTTACATGCTTTGTAGGCTTCATGCAGGGGTGTTCGTCAACATTGTCACGCGGTGTCATGATCATGGGTTTAACCAATCAGAGTTCACTTCCGTTGCACGACTTTTAGTGAGTTCATTAAAACACGCACGCACAGACGCACACATCGTCTGTTTAGTGATCGTAGTGAGGACACAGGTTTAAGGCCGCTTCCAACAGTATGCTAGGACATTCTTTGTGAATGTTTGCTGCTCAGCAGCCAACTTCCCTTTGATGTAATGTCAGGTATGGTGTACCGTTACAGTATCGAGAAGGTAATGGAAATAGAAGAGGTCTATACATTTTCATAGACATAGCTTGTCATAACAATTTCAACCACAATCAAATGCTGGCGCACACGTATGTTATACGACTATATCGTGTCGGATAAACACGTAACTATAACATTCCATATTTCCCCACCTGTACAGCTAGTTGTAAAAAAGTCAATATCCCTAAACGCGACAGAAAGGGCCAATCCAGCATAACTCACACAATAGCTCACTTACGGATCCCGATTTCCAAATTCATATTACTTCACAAAACATTTGCCTTGTCGTATTATATTTCTTGTGGCAAATGAGATTTGCTCACACGTGTTTGTTTCTTGTTAACTCTCCATTCCGCAAAACTCCAGCTATCCGGCGGGAGTCTATTAACAACCGAGTCTGGACCAGACAATCCAGAGATGGACATCATGAGCATCGATCTAGGCTTTAATCGAATCAGCGAGCCTAATCATCCGAACCTGTTAGTCGCCGGCTATATGAGAAAGCGTGGGTTACTGAAGACCGATTGCAACCCGGACCTTCCCTGGGCGTCAAATAGGAACATTCGGTCAGATAAGTAAATACTGTCTCTCTGGGTGGAGTTAGTTTAGTTTTACTCCGCACTCAGCAATATTCCAGTTATATGGCGGCGGTCTGGAAATAATCGAGTCTGGACCAGACAATCCAGTGATCAACAGCAGGAGCATCGATCTGCGCAATTGGGAACCGATGACATGTTTCAACCAAGTCAGCGAGCTTGACCACCCGATCCCGTTAGTCGCCTCTTACGACCAGCATGTGTTA